AGGGCCAGGCCCTCCGGTCCCGCGCTTCCCGGTACTCGCAGGCCCCGCCCACGCTTTGTCTCCGCCCGGGACCGCGCACCTCCGCGGGGCTCGCTGAGGGCTCAAAGGTCCCGGAAGCCTCTCTGGCCCGGTCTGCGGTGCTGACTAGTTAGGGATGCGCGGGTGCCGAATGTGCCTTTACTCCCCTTGCGAGACAATACCTGGCGGAGAGCTTTTTTGTTGCTTACTATTGGAGCCAGACCTTTTGTTGCTGTTGTCAAGTTTTGATCAGAAAGTAGCAGGTTGGAAAGGACTACGACCCGGTATAGATCTGATGAGTGCCCGCTTCTTTGTGTCCCGACCGCTGGACAGTTTGTTAACATTTTCAAGATGCATTGAAAAACATTTTTTGTTAGTTTGTTACAATATAGGAAGACTTCTGGCCATTCTTGAGTTGTATCATTTCCATGATCCTGAGTTCGATGGTGAGCTCTTACTTAGAATTTCTGGAATGGGAAAGTTCGGGACACACATGTCCGCTCCTCTCCTCGGTTTTTGAAGTCGTTATCTACCTGTTGCTGTGAAGTTTTCTTTTGCTTAGACAGCAGAGAGTTTGATTTTTAGTTTCTTAGATGCTAACCCAGGAGAAATCAAAAGTCTTGTTTGAGTGACATCTTGTTTCTCTCACAAAATAAGTTGCTAAGCTCAATGCTTGTTTGTTTGTAAAATCAAATTTTTTTTTTTAAATCAAATTTTACGTTATCATAGCGCTAAGCAAATAAAAAGCAACAGTTCCTCGGTCCACCCTTTCCCAAACTTTTTCTTCTCTCCAGAGACAGCCACTTTTAACTATTTTGGTTCTATCTCTAGATATGCTTATACTTGATTTATCAGTTTTAGCTCTTAATTCTCTATAATAGGAGAGCATTTGGCCTCTTATTCAGCACTCCCCTCATTCTAAGGCAGTAAGTTATCGTTTTTATTTCTTCCATTGGTTAATTCTGTAACTTCAAGTGATACTTTTTAAAAACTCCATCTTTATGAGGTGCCATTAGACTCACTCGTTTTTTACTCTGATGTTAGCTTTTTTTTACCTCTGCAGGCCTTACCCTTCACCTCACTGTTGTCAGTTCTACTTTGCCATTGTTAGCATCCAGAATTGTTGGGGCTTTGGTTATACTGTACAGTCTGTTCCTAAAAGCTAAGAAATCAAATAGTGCCATTGATAGTTGCCATGGTGCAGATCTGTGTTATGTATTTATGCTGCTTTTTCTTTTTCCACTTTCCCTTTCTCTCTACCCACTTTTATCAGGCATTCTGTTAGGTCCACTTTCGTTTTGGGCACTCCTTGGAGTCTTCCTTATTCCTGTTGCAGTCACCCCTGGTTATTGTGTAGGCTTGCTGGAAAGCTGCTCCCTGAGATTTTCAATGGAAGGTATCACTTAATGGATCATCATCTTTCTTGGCTAAATCTTTCTTTGGTTTTTATTTTCGGTTGACTTCATAGGAAATGCCTTTAGGGGGTGAGTTTTCTGTCGTTTTAGGGCCCAAAATATCTCTATTACACATCATCTCCATACACATGAAAGATCACCAGCTAGACACAGAGTTCAGGTCTCTAAGTTACTTTCCCTCAAAACGTTGAAAGCGTTGTTCTTTAATTACCTAGTATTGCTGATGATAAGTTCAACGTTAATGTGCTTTTTGTTTAACAAATACTTAACATTGACCATGTACCAGGCATATTTTAAGCACTTCACAGATATTAACTTGTTAGATTCTCCTACCTCCCACGAGACTATTATTACTTGTTATTAGAGATAAGAAAACAAATAGATAGGTTGAGTAACCCACCTAAGATCTCTCAGCTAATAGTAAAAGGTAGGGCCAGGATGGAAACCAAGAAAGCCTTGATCTTAATTTTTTAATGCTTTCACTTTCATTCTTTTTGTGTTGTTCAGTTTTTTTTTAAGGATTTTGTTTATTTGCTTATGTATTTATTTGAGTCAGCATCATTATTTAGCCCAGACTGACCTTGAACTCCTGGGCTCAAGTGATCTCCTGAATAGCTGGGATTACAACCCATGCTACCATGTCTGGTTTCTTTTTGATGTATTTTATTTTATTTTATTTATTTATTTGTTGGTGGCGAGGAGGTCTTCAAGACAGGGTATTGCTGTGCAGGTCAGGTGGGCCTTGAACTCAGTTTCTAGCCCAGGCTGGCCTTGAATTTACAGGGATCCTCCTGCCTCAGCTTCCCAAGTGCTGAGATTACAGGTGTGTGCCACCACAGCTGGCTCCTTTTGAATATAAATTTTCATGATTATGTACCTAGCTATAGATTTCATTTTTTTTTTCCTGGTACTGGGAATTGAACTCAGAACCTTGTGCTTGCCAGGCTGGCGCTTGTGCCACTGAGCTATATCCCTGGCTCCTAGATTTCATTTTTAAATTTAAATTTATTTTGGTCATTACTTGGCTGACTGAATCTGGACTCTAGTGTATTCTTTACTTTTAGAGAATAGTATTTATTTCTTGACCTCTCTTCTTGCTTCCCAAACTTCGGATATTGGTCGTCCTAGATTGATTTTTTTCCTGTTTCTTTTTTCTTTTTCTCTCATTACCTAGCTCTTTTCCTCTTCCCGATTCCTTCCTTCTTTTGCAGCTTTACTGAGGTACATGTGATATAATGTATGTTTAAGGTATGTAATTTAATACAATGGGTCATGAATCCAATAAAGGCAAGCATCACCTATAAAATATTCCTTCTGCCACTTTATAGTTGTTCTTTCTTTTATCAGCTGCTTACTCTTTGTTTTCTGACCCTAATGGTAAATTTTCATTGTCTAGAATTTTGCTTAAGTGCTTTGTACAATATATACTCTTTAACCTGGCTTACTTTCATGTAGCATTATTATTTTGAAGATTCATTTGATATAGTGGAAAGAAACTCAAGCCTGCTAGATGTCTGGTACAAGTTTGTGTTCTCTAAAATCAAAGAACGAATTTTAGGAACAATGGAAGTTAAGAGCAGAATATATTTATTGAGGGAAAGAAAGCTTCTGTCTGAGAGAGAGACAGAAAGGGTCCCGAATGGGTTGTCAAGGATCCTGCCTTTTCTAGGGATTTTTATAGAGCAAATCCATGATGTGAGACAGGTCCAAGGTGGGAAAAATGGAAATCACAAGATGGGCATGAGGTGAGTGAAAACTGTGGTCAGTCAATAAGACTATAATTGCTCAGGTAAAATTGATTAAATCAGGATCAAATGGGGAGGCATGCCATGTTTTCATGCCCCAAACAGGCATGAATACAGAACAGGAACTTTTCCTCTAGTGGGCTGAGTTAGTGACTCTTCCTGGCTTTCTCCAGGTGATAGATGCCTATTTAGAATATCAATCCCTGATGCTTATCCTTAGGGAATTATGTGGATGCTTTTGTTTCATCATTTGTCTTGAAATCTAGCCCACAGCAGAGGTGCCTGTCTCCCCCACAGTTGCAAGGCATTTTGACTTCTGCACTGGCTCTTTCGAGGGCCTGTCTGTCTATAATATTTCTATCTAACTTAGTTGCCTACAATACATTCATGTTGTTATGGCTATCAGTAGTTTTTTTTGTTTGTTTGTTTGTTTTTTGGTACTGGGAATCGAACTCAGGACCTTGCGCTTGGCAGGCAGGCGCTTGTGCCACTGAGCTATATCCCCGGCAACAGTAGTTTATTTTTGAATAGTATTCTGTGTTGTGGATATACTGTATTTTGTTTATTTTCTTGATAGATGAACATTTGGATTGTTTCAACTTTTGTGCTGTTAAAAAAAAACCTGTGAACATCTGTGTGCAAGTCTTTGTGTGAATGTATTCTTGTTTCTTTAAGGGGAAAAATTACGAGTGAAATAATTAGATTGTGTTGTGTGGTAGGTATGTGATTATTTAGAAAGAAAAACTTACTTATTTTTCCAAATTGGTTGTGCCGCTTTATGTTGATGTGCACACCACCTGAGAGTTCTGATTACTTTGCTTCCTTGTCAACATTTGGTATGCTTAGTTTCAAGTTTTAGACATTCTAGTGTAGTGTCATCTTATTGTGGTTTTAAACTTGCATTTCCCTAATGGCAAATGTTGTTGAACATCATTTCAGGTACATATCTTCCATACATCTTCTTGCCTGTGTGGTCTGTTCATACTTTTTTTTTTTATCTTTTCGAAACAGGGTCTCACTATGCAGTTTAGGCTGGGCAGTTTCAGGTAGCTCTTCCCTCTTTCAGGGTTGCATTTTCAACACATTCTACAGTCATGTTTTTGATAACTGCAAGCAGGGAAATGGAGGGATGAGAGCTATGTTAGTCTGAGATCACCCAAAGAACTGTCTTTACACTTGCTCATTCTCCTGTCTGATGTATTTATTCCTAGTTGGTGTGTGAAATAGATATCCCACTGTGTGTTGAGTAAAATGTGCTTATTGTCCATTTGTATGTTTTTTTGGAAGAAGTATATGTTTAGATTTTAGGTTTTTTTGCCTTTTTGTAAATAAGGTTGTCCTTTCATTGGTTGTCTGAATCTGTAGGAGACTGAGGCAGGATTGCATGAGCCCAGAAGTTCAGGAGTTCTAAACTAGTGTGGACAGCATAGCAAAGTCCTGTCTCAAAAA